TGACAGATAAAAAGAGCGGACTGTCACCTTTCCAAAACATATTTGGATTGCCCGATTAGGCAACCAGAACCGGAGATATTCGGAAAAAATTGGCACTACTAACAAAAACCGAACGATTATATGGATCCACCCAATATCTGAAATATTCTAAGGTTTCTTAGTCTATAATATTTGAAAAGAGAACTTTAAACTTTTCAGATTTCACAAGATTTCATCAGAAATTATAAAATGAGAAATCTTGTATCCAATAAAAAATTTTTCATGCGTGAAATTAACGTTAAAATGATATTAAAATGAATTAGAAATGATTAAAAAATGACTTTTAATGATCATTTCGGATCATACGTCATTTTGATATCATAATGACTTATTCTGCTTGAGTATAAATATAATATGTATAAATATACATAAACGTATAAATTTCATAAACATATTATAATTATATGTATTGGGTGGATCCATATATTCGTTCGGTTTTTGAAGGTAAAATGAAACAAGTTTTTTTCATACAAAGAATGAATTTTAATCAATGATATGATTCTCTGTTTTTGCACTACTAACAAAAACCGAACGAATATATGGATCCACCCAATATATGAAATATGTCCATACATATACATATGTCCAAACATTTTTTTTCTTTTCTATAATTATATATTTATAATAAAAATAGTATATATATATATATATATAATTATTTAACATTAAAATAAACAACAAGAATGGAGTGATACCTGAGTGGTACTCGAATGAGAATTTGAACTTAATTAGCATGTAACTTAATTAGCATGTCAGCATGGAATAGAATCAGAAAATTATGGAAATAGTATGGAATACAAAAAAATCAAAAATTCATGAACATAATAGCATGGAACAAAACCATAAATGTGCAGAAACCGTAACATTATCCATCGGAATATGACTACGTAGTAATGCGCATTTTGTCCACGTAGAGGCGCTGATGGATGAAAACAGATGGAAATCAAGAATCATCAATGGATGTCCCTTTCAAAACTTCTCTATAATAAATAACAGCTGAACAGCAATTCGAGACTGTTCGAGACTATTGAAAACTATTCGAATGTACATTACAGATTACAGTTTCAAGAAGGAAGATACAACTTGTATTCGTATTGATTAAATACATGTTAAATGATGGCAAATAATAACAAGAGTTCCTTTATTACTGTACCTGGCTTCTGTCCGGATTGTGGTTCAATTTTACCTTTGCTTGGAGAGAAAGGAGGAGTTACATGTTACACATGCAAAAGAGAATGGGATGCTGAAGGTACCACTGTATGATAATTCAAAAAATTATGCAAAACATTATGAGATTACATTAGTAATCCTTTGTATGTAAGTTAAGAAATAATTAAAAATTTATATTAATTTGGATTATTAATTTCTATGATTATTTTCCAGTTTTTGGTGATATGAAAATGACACATACGATCCATTTTAATACTAAAGATACTTATGTATCTGTCAAAGAAGAGGAGGATGATAGTGAAGATGACGCAGATGGACCAACAGTGGAGCGAGAATGTCCTCAATGTTATAATGATAAAATGTCCTATGCAACATTGCAATTGAGGTCTGCTGACGAAGGACAAACTGTATTTTTCACATGTACCAAGTGCAAGTGCGTATCTGTATATAGGAATTATTATTGGCTTAGTATTCAGATATTACTTTTATGTTAAATTAAGTTTTTATATTGCTAGTACTTCGTTAATGAATAAATCATTATTTGCAGATTCAAGATAACAGAGAATTCTTAATATGGATTTCATAGACTATATTTTATTTTATAAGAAATATTGTAAAACATATATGTGATTCTTGTTCTTTAAGTTTTTTAGTTGATTAAAGAAATAAATCCTAACTTTAGGATATTTTTTATTTTATATTTTACATATATTTTTTAAAACAATAAATTGCGATATTAAATATCGTAATACATTTTATTATCATTTTATAAAAGTAAGAGAAGAATTTGAAGTATAAAATAATAATCTTTTCATTATTTATTTACGAAGTTTTACATTCTTTGCAAGTGTTGAACTTGCAATATGTTCCATTTTCTAATTCATTTTTGTCAGAATAAGATTGTTTCTTGGACTATAGAAATATGAACTCCTAGTTCCCACTTCTTTTCCTCTTGATGAACAGGCATAATGAACATCCCTTATCATATTATTATGGTTGTGGTCTGATTCATACTGACAACGCTCATGAGCATCATTTGTTTTCGTTTAACATTTGACAAACAACAAGGATAAAATGATTTTTAAGCATTGTGAGCGTGAATCGGATCGCAGCATACAACTAGGCCATTTGCTCAAAATGCGAGCAATTCGAATGTTAATATCGGAAAATAAGTAGATTTAAGGAGAGATGTTGAATGTATTGTTGTCTCGATTTGTTCAGCTGCGTTAAATATCAATAGATATCTTCCCTCAGACTTCTTATCATTAACGATGAATCTCTTGATATCTCTTGATGGTTTAATGAGATTCTAAGGGCGTTGATATCCTTGTCGAACGAATGAAAAATCCGCGAGTACCATCGGGTCCTGACGGCATTCTTGTCACATTCTCAGGCACATGCGTCATCGTGATACTATTGTTACTCCTCGCTCTATAGAATACATTCTGTTCCGAATTTGAGGAGCATAAGGATGATCTTCTAATATTCATATCGAAATCGCGATTATATGTTGAGAGTCTTCTTGATAATGGTCCACAATCGGCCGATCCACGACGATTTGCGATATAGCAGATTCCCCGGCATTCCATCGGAGGACCTGTGATAAATGATAAATTTGTGAATATTAATTGTTATTATTTCGAATATATATATATATATATATATATATATATATATATATACATATATTATTACTAACCGGTAGAAGGACAGCAAGAGTAACGATGATTTTCATGATGATAGAAGCTCTTTGAGTAACTTGGATGAAAAAAAGCTGATTCGGAACCAGACGAACAGGTGGAATAACGTCTACCAGAATCTGAGCTGGAACCGGAACAGGAAGATAGACGCCGAAACATAAAACCATTCTCGGAACTGGATATGGAGCAGGAAGAGAGCTTACGAGATAAGCAAGCATCTGATGATAGAATTCATGTGACTTAATAAGATAAATGTTCCATATGGGGCATCATTAATTGAAAAATTTAATAACATAAGTGAAAAAATTACATTCTCACTTGATTTTATTGATATCTTTTGTTATTAATTTATTTTACATTTTTGATAAATTTAAAACCACTTATCTAACATTGAGACAGAAAGATGTATTGCAAGAGAATTATAATTCTTAAAATAAATCCTACATAATCAATCAAATTTTTTTCTTTAACAAAAAAATTTATCGAGACCGATTTTTGAATTTCTTTCACTACTTACGCGCAAATCTGTGCATAGGTGATAGAGAAAGAGAATAAAAACGGGGGAAAAATGATTTCTCTTTGCTATGACAAAATTTTTATTTAAAATTTAATCTCAAAAAATCTAATATCAAATGTCAGAAATGATTAAAAAATTGACGAAGAAGGATTGAAGTCAACGAATTAAATTAAAATCAACGATTAAATAGTTTGTGATATTTTATATGTATAATGTAAACGATGTATTTTTTTTTCTTACGACATGATACCTTGGAAAGGATAACTCGTATTATGGACGTGATACATCGGATATCCTTGAAAACCTCTTTTAAGCCTTACTCTCCCATCCTCGGGCTCAGATCCACTGGGACAACTCGATGAATTGTGATTATCTTCTCTTACTGTTCTATTTGGGATTTGGCATTTCTTCGTAGGTGGATGTTTCTTCTTCTTGTCAACCGAGTGACGTAATTCGAATACTTGTACGTCACCCAAAGTCATTTGTATGGCGATTCGCGCAGAAGCTGAGTCCGTGAATTCGACCATAGCGTATTCTTCGATGGAGGCCCATTCTGGCCTTTTAGCGATTGCCTGTCGCACCTAAGTAATGATTGTGAAAATTTTATTTCTTGTTTCAATATTGATGGATCTGTCATTAAATATTAAGAGTATTACGCAAAGTGAGATTAATGCACATAATCATTCGCGATTTATTATTTATATGTAATACGTATGTATTATATGTGAGCACGAACGAAAATTTTTGTGTATGTGTATGCGTATGTACATACGTACATATCTAATACATATACAATGCTACAATGTGATCGGTAAACAATTACATTTTTTCAAACTTGATGTTTTTTAAAACAAATAGTATGAAAATTAATTTAATTATTTTTAATGTTTTCACATTACTATATTATTATTTCTTACACTAAAAAGTATAATTTTACAAAAGAAAGAAGAATGTATGAACATATTTCATATATAATTATACATGTTTATGAATATTTATGCATGTTTATGTATGTTTATACATATTTATGCATGCACGAAAAATTTTTTATCGTGTAACGTACATGTGTTATATTACAGTTATATTGTTGAGTAGGAAATTACATTACTATGTACATTACATGTAATTTGGTATTTGCTGAGATTTAATTTGCATAAATTACAAAGGAAAAATTCAAATCAGTACATATGTACTGATGTATATGTATATATGTACTATATTACGAATCTTGGTCGTTTCTATCATCCCAGCATTTCTCAGGTATCATATCAGTACTGATATTCAATATCGCGTCGGTATTAAATACTGAAAAATGGTATCCAGCAAACGAGAATGGATTGAAATGAATTGAAATGGATTCAGATTTTCAAAAATATTGATTCACGAAATGTTAAAATGAATGCTTTTCAATCCTGAATGCATTTTTATTCATTTATAGGAGCATATCTCTATGCCTTTCAATCTAAAAATAATATTAGCTTTTTCTGCACAACACATTGTGAATACTGTTCAATTCAAAATTTTGAATAGGAAATGCAAATTTTCAACCCAATTGAATCCAATTAAATCCAAAAAAAATATTCGCTATTTATAAAATACGCATTCAGATAGAAAAAAATTTCAATCCATTTTAATCCATTCTCATTTGCTGGGTATTAGACCAGTACCTCGCCGATATTCAATTTCCACTTGTTTACATTTTTAGAAAATTACGTCTTTCTTAATTATATTATTATTCTTAATTGTATTAGCAAAAAATGTATAATATTATACATCATGTAATACATGGCATATACATCTTTTGTTAGTAATACAATTTTCTAAAGACGTAAACAAAATTGAAAATATAAATGCAGAATAACTTGATTGAAGGAACAGTTGACGTAACGTGTGATCCAATCGAATAATCTCTTACTGCAGGAAACCTTACGTATTTTAGTTCTTATGGATCAACTATAGCTTGTTAACGGGGAAATATCATATCGGTAAGTTAATTGTAACATATACGAACATTACATCACAGAGTATTAATCCATGCCGTGATTATGTCACGGTAGAATACAATTGTGGAAAATTTAATGGGCGACAGGGAATGGAAGTGGAAAATTTGATGGATAAGATAGGATGAAAATGTGATAAACAAGCATTATCCATATTATCATTAACTATTATCATTAAACTCGGTTCCAAGTTCCGATTTGTTGAATTATTGAGTAATTGTTGAGTAATTGAGGGAATTGTAAGTTACAATTTGTAACACTAGGAATTACGTGAATTACATTAATTTATGTAACGATAATTAGTAGTCTTCTTATTTACGTTACTTTGTGCTCATTTTTATCTTATATATTCTCTAAAAATTAGTCGAAAAAGATAATAAAATAGCAAAGAAGAGAAGCACATGTGATGCTAACGATATAATTATATATTTCAAAATTATGTATCCCGTATCTTTATATATAAAACAGATTGTCTAAAGTTGCGAAGAACATCCGAAATTCGCAGGTATATTTTTCGATCAATTCGTATAGTTAATTTTTCTTTGGCCAAAGAATCGAATGGATACTTCTAATTATAGGCAATCTAAAATGAAACCGTATTTGCAAAATAAATCTATTATAAATCGAAATTACCGACGAAACTAAACCAATTAATAGAAGTAATTCTATTTTCGGTCAAAGCGAATCTTATATTAAGTGTAGTAAAAAGAAATCCATTATTTTTACTACACTTAATATATTGCTTAATAATAATAATGAGGGAACCTCGCTAGGGAATTCTTGCTAGAAGTGTCAATTTCTTTAATGAAATTTTGTATAGGCTACGTAAATAGATAAATTTAGAAAATATCAATTGAAGCCTAAAAAAGTTTTAAAAGGAATCATCCTTATATGCAATAAAATAGTTTTCAGTTTTTTTTCGTTATATCTCAAAAACTATTCATGATATGAATGTTTAATTTATACGAAAGTTTAAAAAAAACTATCTCAATTTATTCAAATCAATAAAATAATTTAAAAAATTTTTTTTTATTTTAAAAAATAATTACTTAAAAATATTATTGAATAGAAGTAATTTTACTGCAAAACTTTTATACAAAATACATTTTTTATATCTTGAATTATAATATAGTTTTTGAGATAACAAAAAAAGTTGAAAATCGCTTTATACAGAGAGAAGTGTGATTTCACACTTCTCAAAACTGTTTTTATATCGATATATTCTAAATTCATGCATCTATATGTGTACAAAGTTTTATTAAAATCAGACTTTGACATTTTGCAAGGTTCTCTTGTAAATACAAATTCTTTTGCAAATATATTACTTCAATTTTATAAACTACGCAAAAAATTTGCAAATATATAAGATAATTTACACTAAAAGCAACTAAGAGCGTAATAAGCACTAAGATCCGAAAATAGGATTATCTCAATTAACTTAAATCTTATATAATCATTTAAATCTATATTTGAAAATGTACTTCTCAATGAAAAAATTGAATTGGGCAAATATCGTGTTGCAAAACATATTCAAAATAGTAATGTTTTGCTATCCGCTATTCGCATTCGCGAATGTATGTGCATCTTGTTAAAAAGAAAAGACGTTTTACCTCGGGAGGTACTGGACGTCCAGGTTTAAGCACCCTTATCAATGCTATCTCACCGCAAGGCTTAAAAATTTCAGCGACAGATTCGATTGTTAATTTTTCTATTGGTAATCCAGCCGCTAAAATGGTCCTAGAAGGAGCTGTCTGATCAAAATGTGGTAAAGGATTCACTCTACGCAGCTTAGTCCCTTGTGAATTAAGCTCGAGCTTTTTAGACCTCGTTAAAGCCGCTCCGACCACTCTCCAATCCCTGCTGAGATGTTTGACTTTTTTGAAGCTGGATATCAGTTTAAGAGATACGTAGCCTTCTTTGTTCCTTTTCACGTGTTTCAATAAGAACGCATCCTTTATTATATTATCGTCAGAAAAGTAATATTCCACTTGAGCGCATATCTTGTCAGCTAACTCATCATTTGGTATCACGAAATCGTTGGTCGTTCTCTTAAACGTTGATTCCGTTGATTCTATTAAAGACTCCGATGATATAACATTTAATTGTTTCTGCTCTGTCAGTTCTTTCGATGTAACATCATCCAGAGAATCCGCACCCGAATCTTGATCAGTATCATTCTTCTTTACAATCCTGATCTCGCTATCGTAATCTGACAAGTCGGCCTCGTCGCTCTTGGATCCTCTTCGGTCGAAAGAAAGGCTTACATCGCTGTCTACGGAGGAAATACTGTCTTTTGTTTCAGATTTCTTCATACGCGGAGGTGAAGACAATAGATTGTTAATCTGCTCTTTTAAATCTTGAGATACTTGAAACTCCATATTTTTATCAAAGTAGGGAGACTACTATATTTTAAAATTATAAGAAGGCAATTATATAGCAACTTTAACTTTAAGTATAATTATTTTCTTTCTTCAGATTTTAACTATTTTCTTCCATTTTTACATAAAAAATGTATATATATATATGTCATTGCTAAGTCATTTTTCTTTTTTCTAATACACTGACGTTTTGTCAATTAAAAAAAAAGATTTCAGAATACAAAGATAGAAATTGAATGAGAGCGTACTCATCGCTCACTGACCTTCCACTCTGTGCGCGATCCGTTTTATAGCTGCGGCCAAGTTCGATGTGTGGCAAAGCTGCAATGGCCTTCTTGAATACCGGTCAAGAATGAAACATTCGGCGAACGACCGAAGGGCACTCGAATTGAACCTTGAGCGAAGGAAAGGGAGTTTATAATAGAATTATTAAGTGTACGCCAGAATATAAAAGAGAATTTTGAAATTATCTTTTGTTTATGCATGCACATAAAAATTGAAATAATCAAAATAAATTTTAATAATTTCAGACAATCGTCAAGTATATATAAATTTCAAAATATATTAATTTTAAATGTTATCGATACCTTTGGATCTCATTGCTTATTATAGACATGAACTGTTTACGTTACGTATCTGCAATATATAATTGTATGGATTGTGTGGAATGTAGGTATCGCGAACAATTACAACACACACACACACACACACACAATCATTGATCATAGGCAGGAAGAACTTAAGACTCGCGAACTTAACCAGTCTTGACCTCGCTAAGGCCCTGAGGGTATATTCGCAAACGACGCGCATTGGATCTGTACGCCAATAGCATAATAATATATAGGTCAAGTTCGGTTGGCCACATATATGGTCATGAAGGACAAAGTTAGCTCTGAATCGTCAAAAAACGAAAGGAGTTCGGTCCTTCGTCTCAGACCCCAAAGATCTTAATGCTTCATACTCTCCAAATCCTACATTGCCATTACTGCTCCACTATGCTCCAAAGGCAGATCCCTTTCTGTTTCTATGATTTTTTTTACTACTCTTCGGGGGGAGTTCGAGGCCCCACATCGCATCGCATGTCAAGCTGGATTAAAAGATAGAGGGTGATTGCCTTGGTTTCAGCTGAAGATTAATCAAGGAGAAGAGTGAAAGAGATGGGAGGAGAAACTGATCGTCCGATGATTCATCTAAATTACTTACTTATATAGACAATATACATGTATTATATCTTTTAGGATTTGAATGTGTGCATATGTGTACGCGCGCGTCATGCACGCGCATGTACTTTTTAAACAATAAGAATCTTATTCAAGATTTTTTAAAATAATAGTCGCATGAAAATGATTTTCACCAATCATCTTTTTCAAAACATTAAAGTTATTAGGTGTTGGAATTAATTCGTAGCGTTTTACAAGTGATGGGAAGTACTTTCATTAATATATTTTTTAATGCTCATGTGAAATAAATAACATTCTTTCATTAAAAAACGCTACGAATTAATTCCAACACCTAATATTTTTCTTTTATTTAAACGATCGAAACAGTATAATGTTAAGTAAATTTTTGTCATTTCATTCTACGTATAAATACATTATTTCAAGTTTATGAAAGACTGTAATCTAGAGTTTTAAAAAATCTAAGATTTTTTTTTTAAAACCCAACTCAGAAAGTTTTTTTTAAAGACCCGAATTTTTTTGAGTTTTATTGAATTTTCCAGGTTTTATGCATTTTTATTCTTTATAGTCCACTAATGATTAGCAAGATTCGATATTCAATATAATAGATAATTATATTATGAAATTATATTAATTTCCATTTGATTTATTTAATTTAATTCATTAATTAATATAATATACATGCACATATATCTATATAAAAAACATTCCATGCTAAACCGATCCGATCGTTATTAAAAGAAATGTATTAGGTGTTGGAATTAATTCGTAGCGTTTTACAAGTGATGGGAAATACTTTCATTAATGTATTTTTTAATGCTCATGTGAAATAAATAACATTCTTTCATTAAAAAACGCTACGAATTAATTCCAACACCTAATAATATACGATTTTTTATTCACTTGGCATATATTTTTTTTTTAGGGATTTCACTGTTTTTTGTAAATTTTTGAAAATATAACGTCGCCGTCGCCTGGTGTCGTTCATGTCATTCGGAGTCGTTCGACGTCAATGCCTAGTATTGTCGTCGTCGTCCGGCGTCGATTGTTATTCGATAATTTATTAATCAATTTTTTTCAATGTGTAATTGTATTTATGAACATAAAGTTATTCCAAAAAAGATCTTTTTCTTTAATTAGAATAACAATCTTTTACATATACAATATAAATGATTGTTCCTATTACTTTACTTACATATTACGGCGTCATCTTCAAAGTTAACAATTTTATGGAATACACTTATTTTATTTATCACATCTTTTCTGACATAAAGTATATTATAAATACTTCCTTAAAATATTCACTTCTTAATGAACTCATCTTAACTTGTGTGTGTGTGTGTGTGTGTGTGTGTGTATGTTTTACAGAATTATTGAATGATTTATTTGCACAAAAGTCATATGATTTTGTAATTTTATAATTTTGAAAAATATAAGGTCAATTTTCTCATGCGTATAGCACAATTATGTGCCTTGTAAACAAAATTATGATTGTAAAATATCTATCTCGAAGCAAAATATTTCTACAATTAGAAAAGTTTTTCTTTCGTATATCTTTCATGCAATAATTATTTTTAGAAATATAATCACATAGAAAGATATAAAAGATTTGATATTCTTGCATCTATAAATTAAAAATACTTAAATATTTATATGCTTATATTTATATGCTTTATCTAAGTCGACGTATTGCTCTTGATCGTTAACGATATTGTGGACAATGCTGTTTTATTATTGATTTTGAAATGTCAGCATGACCTGGAATAAAAAAATATAAAATGCATGTCCTAATTATACATGATGCTTGATAACAAATGTATCTATAATGCATATATATTATTGATACAATAAAATAATATATAACTAAAAAAAAGTATTCAGAGAATAAGTCTTGTGACCAATTCCAGAAACAAAAGATTTTAGTTAATTAAATAAACAAATCAGAGAAGTTAAAAAAAATAATTTATTCTTATATTGTTTGAGATTTAAGATAATTTAATTCATACTAAAAATTTAATTCATACTGAAAAAGGATATTACCTAATTGTAGTTCTATATACAAGGCCAACATTATTACTTGTATAGGTATATCACAATCTGGTTCTTTTGACATCCATATCTGAAACAGAAAGTAATTAATATAAAAATACTATTTAAAAATACTATTTAAAAATATATCTACAAATCAATAAACAAATAATAGTAATACATTAATATAAATATACAGTTTAATAGTATATAAAAAAACAAGTGCAAGTATCATATTTAATGTATCATATTGTTGTTATATATATATATATATATAAAATTTTACATCTATAATATTATATATAAATAGAACTCTCTTCTAAGATAAAACTCTAAAATACTCGCTTGTTTCAAAGTTTCGCCAGATTTATCTAGTTCGCCTCGAATAGCATAAGCCACAGCCAAGTTGTAACGTATTATAGCAGTGCCTGTTGAAACTGTTGTAGGATACCATGCTACAATTCAAAATAACAAGAAATTTATTTCTCAGATATTGAAACATTACTAACATTAAATATTGAAAATCTCGAAAAAATATAAAAATAATATATTTTCATGAGAGCAAGTAAAAATACTTGCGAAATTTCAAAATTAATTTGAATAAGTTTAATTTTAGATATATATATTTTTTTTATTAAACAATCTACACTGAATCTTTTATCTTACAAACAATATGTCTTAACAAGAAAGCTAAGAATATTATATATCAAACATATATTAAATGGTGTAACATGTAACCAATTAAAAAATAATTACAATATGATGATCTGAAGATAATTCATACATTTTGCGATATAACTTTTTTTAAATTTTTCGCAACATTTTGCCTCTGGTAGTATTTAATAAAATTTCTCAAGATTATCAAAGCTAGAAAAAGAGGAAAATGTATATTTCTTTCCACGATGCGTAATCAATTGTTTGCGAAAATAATGTATTAAAAATAAAAAATATAATCTCTCTTTCACAAATCATGAAAATGTTTCTCCTTCTAATTTCAGAAATATTTGGCATATTAATTTCCAAATTTACCTTTTACAGGTTTAATCATAACTTCTTCCATTTTTTCTTTATCCTTCTCCTGAATTTCTGGCATAGATATAGATGTATTTAAATCTTGAAGATTTTCTAACTTCAAGTATTCGAGCGCTTCATTAATTTTGTCCAAGAATATCAAACTTTCAGCAGCATACAAGTTGCCTAGCATTTTATATGCTCCAGGCAACTTGTTAAAGCTTAATAGAGTTTTTGCATGTTCGAGAGAAAGTATATAATCTCCAAGACACAAAGAAACATAAGCGCTAGTAACCAAGATACTAATTTTTAAATTAAAAGATTCGATAGCTGTAGCTCGTGACATTAACGTTGTATGTTGGATACCTACAATAATTATATATCTAAATCAGATTTATGCGTATATAATAGCACATGATTATAAATTATATTCTATACCTAAATTGTGACCAGATGTTAACGATAGTGATACTGAATTCGCCATGGTTGTTGCCAATGAGCCAGGCACACTCGGCTCATTATTGTTTGGTAGTAAAAGTAATGCATTCTTCAGACATAAATATCCAAATTCCAATGTTGGTTGTGGGATTGCATAAGATAGGCCTTCCGAATGATATTTGATATCTTTTGAAAGAGATGTGGCTAATATGATTTTTTTATGGATACCAGAACCTATAATTTTCTGCACCAAATCTTTACGCCGTTTGCATGTGTCCATATATTGACAATAATATATGTTATATCTTGACTAAACCTTAAAATGATATTGGAGATGTGGCTAATATGATTTTTTTATGGATACCAGAACCTATAATTTTCTGCACCAAATCTTTACGCCGTTTTGGAATATTAAAATCAACTTTGTTTGACTAAAAAAAAAAAAAGCAATATACGATTGCATTATATTGCATATGTGTTTTCATTATGATCACATAATCATTAAAATTAAAATAGTGTAATTACAACAAATAGTGTTTCCAAAATATTAATGTTGACTAATATTTTTTCAAGACAGAATCAATATCACATGATTGCAACTTACATATTTATAACTGTAGATGCAACATTCTGCCATTCTGAGCAAGAGTTTAGGATTATTGTGTATCTTCTGTGCTACTTCTGTAAAGCAATCAAAGGCTTTTGACGCTTTACCAGCATATAACAATGTTACACCCAAACTGTACATTAACTCGTAATGTTTATTCCCACCAAGTGTGTATAATGGTTGAGAAGATAAAGGATCTGTACAAGTTTTCTTCTTTTAATATTGGCATCATTGTATGTATACGAATTGTTTAGAATAATATCAAAAATATAAAATACTCGGTTCATTGCTGTACTTAATTCAAATGTGCTTAAATTCAAATATATTTCAATCAGTTCTCTCTCGAGAGCGCGCGTAACGTGAAGAAAGGATGGAAGAATCAATAGAGTACGAGTTTCTTTTGCACGATACAGTTTTTTCAATATGGTTTTTCCTAGCGCGTCGAGGCACAAAGTACCGCGGATACTTTTTAGATGACCCAATATTTGGAAATAAAAGATGGAAGATAATACTTGAATGTGTTGGAAACAAAATAAAAAAAGATATTTAAAAAATTCTATTTAAAAAGGAGATCTGAACGAGACATAATGCTTAACCTTCAAACCTGATTTTATTAAAACCATGTTAAAAAAAAATATTAAATTCAATTCACATATGCGCACATTAATAAGTAATTCATATTAAATAATTAATTTTTTTTTCAAAATTTTGACTATTTTTCCAACGTATACATCCAACATATACATTCTATACATTTCAGATTTCGGATGATATTGATAGAATTAAGCAATTTCAATGGATAATATCTTCAAATTTGATGTACATTACTTACAATGTACATCATGCCCATCAATGCCGATCTGAAGGATTTATTTTACGTTTAATAATTGTAAGAATTACCAGTATCTTTGACTTGCATGCTTTCCAATGCAAATTTATTTGCACGCAAAGCTTTCTGGAGACAAGTATAAGCCAAAGTTGGCTTGCCCATCGCAAGATGCAGACATGCCATATTGTTATAAAATAAAACAGTTGAAGATTCTCCACATAATCTATAAACCATGTATTAATGTGTTTTAGAATCGAGCAAGAATTTAATCTATTTGGAACATTTTTACTTATTTTAAACAATATTTAAAAAAATTATTTCTATGTATTTTTATAATACATAACAAGAGATGCTATGCAAAATGATTAGAACAGATAGTAAAATCAAAATGACGAACGAATTAGAATAGATTATAATGCTTTTTCAAATAAAGATAAAAACAAATAAAGACTGAATTATAGAGCATAATTTTTTCCATAAGTGTACATAGAGAAACTGAAAAGTGCAATTGCGTTTTTTTTTTCATTTATATAAATTCATTTATACATATAAATCTCATCTTCACATTTCATTATGTAATATTCTCTTTGACAGATATGTATATAACACAGCTGTTATATTACCCATATTGTTTAAAAAAATAGAATGTCCAAGATAGATAAAATTGTATCATTTCAATTTGTGTAATATTAAGAATATTTACAAATTTTTGGCTTTGCTTCATGCATTTGTATTTAATTTAGTTAATATATATGTAACATACTTAAAATCAGTTTCTTTCATATTAGAATTCAAAAATTGTATTGCCTTTTCATAATTTCCTCGTAAATATTCCAGATGAGCCTTCAAAAAAATCGTTGATGTATTCTGAAAATAATAAATAGTACACATTTTGTATGTGTATATCATAGACTATATCACAATAAATAACAATAGTATTACCACTATGCCCAATGAAACTAATGTCTTCCATTCTTTTTTACACAATTTCAGTTGATGAGTCAAAAGATATATTCTTGCTTTGTATTTCAAGAGTTTAATTTTGAATGCATCTATCACTATATCACCAACATCTTTTTTTGGTTCCCTTTGCTCCTTAATAGATTTTATTACTCCATCCTTATCAATAGAGGATGCTATCTTGGAATTGTCAGTGGATATAAATTGACTTTCCACATAATTTAATATTGATAGAGCTGCGTCTGGTTGTTCCGTTACTATATATAACTCGATCAATAACAGACAAACTTTATGTGCTAAAGTTTCCTCTATAAGAAAGTCGTATATATTAAGATAGAAATAAAGATTCTATAAGCAAAATATAAATAAAGTACATCTAAAATATACATTTTATTTAATGTAAATCAAACAATCTAGCTCATTTTTTTAAATGACAGCTCTAACTTTATTCTCGTACTCTGATGAATGATCAACTGTTGTATGTCTAATTTAAAAAAAATTCTATTTGAAACTATTATCACACCCATTGGCTTGGCTTACATACCCATTGGCTCGATAAAAGCAAATAGCCTAGTCATGATTTGAAGCGCAGCATTATATTGTTTAGTGTGATATAATAAAACAGCTTGATTATATCTCATAACACACTTCTCAACATCATCGATAGTCTCGTTAGAATCCATCGTTGATATTTGGCCACATATCGCATTCAAACTCTTTCGTGTCAACTCAGTTTTTTTCAAGTCACTTTTATAATATTCCACCACGACTTTATTATGTGTAACTTTAAGATCTGTAGGTCGGAGGCTTTCTAACTTGTTCAAATATGACAAACACGACGCGTAAGCACCTTTTTGAAATTCCGATAGTATATTTTGAGCTAACTCGCGCTCTTGCTCAGTTATAGTAGAGACACTGTCTTTACTTTGGGATTCAGAAATTTCACTCATGACGTATCGATTATGAGTGATTCTCGATGTGTAATTGTAAACTTTCTAGTCAATTGTATATACAACTTTTTGATTCAACTCAATTCAACCACAAAAGAGCAGAGAACTCTATGTAGAGGTTATGATAGATCCGATTAACCACTGAACATATATAGTTCAGTGGCTTAACCTAATCGGTCAAATAAATGTCAACCGTGATTGGTCAATTCTGTTGAACAGCCAATGCAATTGGATAATTCCAATGTAACAAACGGTCGATTAGTTAATCGAAGTTAGTGAGACCGATGAGAAATTCTGTGGTTCTGACCTAACCGATAGCATGTGCTGCTATCTTGCAATGATATGATAAAATTAGAATATATTTTCTATTACTCCTATGGTAGACACACAAAATCTTATAAAAATGAAAAAATAAAAAAGAGGTTCTCAAATCATATCATATTTATTATTCTTGAAATATTAATCAACATTTGAGAGCATTATTTCTTTTATTTCTTTATTTTTATAAAAATTTCTTTATTTTTATAAAGTTTATTATGTCCATTTATCAATTGATAAGAGAAAATGTGTTGTAATTTTGCCGTATCACTGTAAGATAGCAGCACAATTTGTTTTTACATGTAAAAAGTAACCTGGCAGTAGATTCAGTCAGAAATTGCCGCGAATCAGCATCGATTGAAATATAAAAAGTTTAATTAATGTTCTGCCTGGAATTTTATTTTCTCAATTAATTTATATATTTTTTTCTAGCAATAAGTTATAATAGATTGATCTTACTCGTGCCGGTATAATGTGTGGAATATTTTGTTCTATATATCAACCCCAACAAGATTCTGAATCTTCTAAACAGGTATATGCAAACATTACAAGTTGTTTACATTAAAAATAAACATTGCAAAATTTGATTAGATCCTAAAATTTTGAAAGATGCATAACTATAATTATATTATTTATTTTTTTTCCTAATATAGAAACTAAAAAATTTTTTCTATTAGAATGAAATTAAGAAATTGAGAGTTTGATATTGCGAAATTATTTAATTTTACAGGAACTACAAAAGAGACTCGTTATATGGTATTCATTATAATAGACATAAAGTATAGTAATTTTTTTCTTGATCTATTGATTCAATTTTACTATTTTAGTGGAATATTTGCAAGGATGCAATAACCGCCCGAGGTCCTGATTACTTTATGGAGAAATATTTGACTTTGAGTCATGACTGGCATGGACACTTTGCTGCTTCAGTGTTATGGATGCAAGGATCGAGAATAATGACACAGCCAAGTTTGGATGATAATGATAACTTATTACTTTGGAATGGAGATCTTTTCTCGGGTTGTTTGGTACGTAAATTGTATATGTATATGAAATATTCTGATTGATGCTTTGAATAAATGTCATTAAAAATTGTTTTTAACTTAAGGATGTATAGAATGTCCCCCCAATAAGTCATATATAGTATGTAAAAATAAAAACATGATATAAATGTATTTTATAAAAATTATAGAAATGTCAACCCTGATTACTTTGTTTCTTTTGAACGAGAAAAATATAGTTAGTCTGAAAACATAATGGGTTTAGTAAATCTTAAATTGTAAGAAATTAATCAATCATAGTCGATTATTATTTTCTTCACATTCAATTGTTGATTGACCAATATCTTACATAAATAAAGTTTTACTAAGTTTAACTATTATGTTTTAATATTGAAATATCTATCTATCTATCTATCTATATATATATATATATATATATATATATATATATATATATATATATATATGAAATAAATTACAATTGCAACTAGAATAATCATATTTATTTTAGGCAAAAGATGATGTTTGCGATACAAACATCGTATTGAGCGAATTACAATCTACTACAGATATCATGTCTGTACTTCGGAAAATTGAAGGTCCTTATTGTTTAGTATATTATAAAAAATCGACCAATACGTTATATTTTGGACGAGATATTATCGGACGACACAGTTTACTTTTAAAAGTAGACAACAAAAGTAATTCATTAACTTTAACTTCGGTTGCAAATAAAAACATAAGAGGAATTGTAGAAGTACCGGCTATAGGTATTTTTGTAATGAATTTAAATATGTCACAGATAAATTTAGCATGTTATCCATGGAAAGAACCTGATTTGAAGTTTACGGATATTATTGAAGTATTAGAAACAAATTTAAATGTAGATATTGATATTAAAGAAACTATATTGAATACTTGTTCATCAACATTGACGAATTTGCATCTGCATCCGGGTCCAAAGGATGTGGAATATCTAGAAAATGTACCATGTAGCAAAGATTTTAATGAGGTATTGCAATATCTGTTGAAAAATCAGGAGGTAAATGAAAGAGTCGAATGTTTGATGGAACTGTTACATCAGTCTGTGAAAATCAGAATAAAGAAGAAACCAAATTATTGCAAGGAATGCATAAAATTGGTACTAAATGACGAAAATGTTACTTGTGCTCATTCCAAAATCGGTGTATTGTTTTCTGGTGGCCTAGACTCTGCAATTTTAGCAGCAATTGCTCATAAATACGTTTCAGAAGATGAAAGTATCGATCTCATTAATGTGGCATTTGAAAGACTGGGAAGCAAAAATCAGAGCATGAGTCATACGAACAATGAAAAGGGGAATGTAACGCAGAAATATGATGTGCCAGACAGAAAAACGGGACGACAAACGTATTCCGAATTGTTACGAATTTATCCCAACAGGAAATGGAATTTTATAGAAGTACAGTGTCTATGTTAGAAATATTTTTCTCAAAATCTTTTCGAAAAAATAAAAAAATAGAAAGAACTCGTGGAACCATTTTTCTGATTACAATGCTTATTTCAGTGTAACATCACGCAAATGGAATTGCAACTGTATCGCGCGTCACGAATTTGTGATTTATTGCATCCATTGTGTACAATTCTGGATGAGAGTTTAGGATGTGCTATGTGGTTTGCAAGTCGAGCAAAAGGTGTCCTCTATCCAGTCAATGAAATATACGAATCGCCATGCAGGATATTACTTTTAGGCATAGGGGCGGACGAATTGTTTGGTGGATACATGAGACATAGAACTATATTGAAGCATAAAGGATGGGATGCGCTGATACAAGAACTAAATGTCGAATTGACTAGGATTTCTGAAAGAAATTTAGGTCGGGACGACCGGATTGTTTCTGATCATGGGAAACAATCCCGTTTACCATATCTCGACGAAAATTTGGTGAAATATGTGCAGCATATAAAACCATGGGACAGGTAAATTTAAATGACGATAAACAATTATATATAAACATTTATGGATTACTACGAATGAGTATATGTATAATTATTGATAGATGTTATCCGACTGAAAAAATGCCAAGTGGATTGGGAGATAAATTACTGTTACGTTTGTTAGCCTGCAAGATTGGTTTTCAATGTACGGCTAACTTTCCTAAAAGAGCTTTTCAATTTGGATCGCGAATTGCAAATGGTAAAGAAAATGGTAATGATGTATCAAATAGATTATAAAACATAAGTAATATTATTAATGCAAATTTGATTAAGCTATTACTATTATTTTCAAATTGAATGAAAAGAGTGACGATTTCTGCTGTGTTGCAGTCACAACTATCCTACTGCTAATAATTTTAATGATACTACGCGTGTGTTGAGCTTTAATAATTTTATATATATATATATATATATATATTGTAAATAAATTAATTAGTATACGTAATTATATTTAATATATCTTATAGTGTATCTCATGGATCGTCTACAATGGAAGTAATATTGAATAGTAAGCAATAAGATCGTCATCGCGATTCATTTTGATTTTTTTATTTTTATTTTTATTATATTTTTTATTACTTATTACAACTTTATTCTTTTATTTTCACTATTGTTACTCGAAGTAAATGTTTATAAGATAAATCGTAATTTTATAAATGTATATTGCAGCAATTTTATATTAAAATAACATATAATAAATTATTAATATTGATGGTACAGTATGATTATTTTATCTCAAACCATATCGCATCTTTGATTTCTGTACGTGACAAGTCAAACTGCGCATACGTAATCTGAGACTGATCGATGTAAATAAGGATGTATCAAATATTTAGTTCGCATCAATTTGATATGCATACTAACCAATTTAACGGTGTAAAAGGATCTATATTAGTGTTTTCAATACTAATGTAAAAATAGTATTTATTAATATTATCCGCGTGTAATATTATTTAATATTAAATTTTTTATAGGTATACTTTTAGAATGTTATATGTAACATTTTAATAATATTTTATTATTACATTAATAATATTTTAATATTCCTGAAATACATATACTTTCGTGCACTTTTATATCCACTGACATTTCAATAACAAATATACTTGTATTAGATTAAAAAATATAAAAATTAAGCACAATTGTACAATATTTCTTTAAGTTCATAAACTATTTACAATTAAAAAATTTATTTACATATTTTACGGCTTTATTTTCTCAAAGTACATTTATACAAATACATGAGTTTGAAAATAACCGCGTCTTGCGTCAAGACAGAGGCAAGTTTGCAGTACTTTATAGGTAAATCTAGTGACTTTATTAGAGAGTCTCTAATCCTGCCACTCCTGCCAGTCGAATTAAGAACGATTCAACGTCAGATCGGTCAGATCAGGTGAGAGGGAGAAAAGTGTGTGTCAAAAAAAGTTGACTAATTTTAATTTGAATCTCTTTGTTCTCTTAATTATTAAATAAAATACGTTATTTAAATAAGATCCAGCTAAGATCTAATGAATTTATAACATTTAACATTGAATAAAGTAATTATTTTAAAATAATACTTATTTGGATAGAAATTGATTGAGGTTAATGATTATTTATGACGATTGATTAACCTTAATATTGTATCATATAAATCTTTCATATATATTTTATTAATTTCATTCAATACTTCGCTTAATAGAATAACATAATTATGTATATTACATTATTTTCTTCATTTCATAAAATAATGTAATTAAATATTATATTATTTTCATTATGTATATATATATTTTTTTATTTATTGTACGATTTCAAGATCGAAGATTCTCAACATTGAAGATTTTCGATCTTGAAAGTTTATCATGATCGAAGTGAATCATAATTTCAAGCAATATGATAGTCCTTATTAAATTGAAATTATGTTGTATAAGAGAACAGGATAAATGTGTGTGTGTGAGTGTGTGTGTGTGTGTTGTGTGTCACATTTTGACTGCTAATACAAAAAATAAATAAACATTGCTTATATTTCAGTGTGTACGTAGATACATACGCAGTAGTTTTGTGTGATTATTTGTCTTTAATCACACGAGTTTCATTAGGTACGTTTGATAGAAATAATTATTTCAGGTACAGATAATATTACTAATTTTATTATACATATGCAAAAAAATAATTTGGAGCCATGTATCTTAATATATGTAATATAAAATACTATTTATTGTAATGAAGATTCCTGTTATTTTTTGCAGATATATGTTATGGAGAGATTAGCATTAATTAATTAGGAAATCATGAAAGAAAAACATGGCTGAGCATGGCAATGATCTTTACGAACAACAACTTTTTGCTGTATTTGAAAGCTGTTTGACAAAAGGAGAGAATGAACTCAGTGAGAATGATTTGTTTTCTATTTGCAATAAATTGGATCTCGATGAATTGATTGAGGAATTGAAATTGTGCATTTGCAAACATCATCCAAATAAACAAACGATATCCTTTCAAGAATTCCGAGATGGTTTATTACTCTTGTTGAAAAAATTTCAAGGTTCAATAACTGATAAACAGCATATTGTACAACCATATCATAATTTAAATATATGCAATCGAGATATCGAGAAAAATCAAACTTTACCATTGGCCACAAGTACTTTGAGGGTTTATCTTCAAGATATGAAAGCTAATGTTACAATGGACGAGAGCAGATTGATACGCTTATGGGAGAAAGTTAAAGTTTATTTAAGTGGAAACGCAGAACCTGCAACGATACAATTTATATCGAGTTGTTTAGAAATTCCAGAACTCCCTAAACAAATAACAGAATCTATCTTTGAAAGTCTCGATCGCAATTGTGATGGATTGATAAGTTTTGATGAGTTTGTAATTATATTTCAAAAGAAAAAAAATATTAAAACTTTACGAGAGGATACCGCATCTCATAGCAGTATTGTAAACTATGATGTAAATACATTAGATTTTAATACATGTGTGTCTTGTGAAATTAATTCAACGCAAACTAACAGAGATTCGGATAAGGAGGGAAAAGTTGCTGGTGTTTCTAATATAGCTACGCTATCATCCAGTGATCTTGATGCTTTGGATACGAGTCTTGCAGAAATAACAAATGTCATATGCGATGAACTCAAGAATTTAGATGAATCATTAGATAATAATACCATTCAGACTCATATTAGTTTGTTACGAGAAATGATGATTACCCATCAGGATGAGCAACGCAATTTAACTGCTATAATAGACAACATGAAGGTAGAAAGAGAGAAAATGCGGATTGACATGTTAGAGGCCAATGAACGGGCGAATTTATTAGCACAAGAGATTGATGAGTATCATGTTCAGTTGGAAAAAACGAAAAAAGATTTACAGAGACAGAGCGAACAACGTTATGCTGAAATCATGAAAGAATTATCAGATCAACTGAATATCGAACGGGAGATGGATGCCGCGGCTTTAAAATCAAAGGATGATCAGTTACAGGCATTACAAAAGGATAATCATGATATGAAAAATAAAATCGTACATATTTTACAAGAGAATCAAATGCTCGAAGCAGAGAATAAAACTCTTCTTAGCCAGATTGAAAAGTTGCGGCAATCTAATAATGATTTGTTAACTCAAATAAAAGTGTTAGATGCGGAGCAGGATGAGATACAAAGCATAGAAGCTAAGCAACAGGAACAAGTTAATTTTTTCGTTGATCGTATTAAACAGTTACAATCAGAAGTGACGCTCTTGCGAGATCAAAACGACGAACTTTGCGCGGAATTAGAAAATTCGAAATGTTATGGCAAAGATACGACATATAAGACACCATCATCTTTGGCATATGATTTACAATTAGATGAAAATCAAGATGAAAATCATATGACACGAGAGTTTGAAGTGAATCGGCAGATCAGTGGTAAAGCATCATGTGATAACTTTGAAATACCAATGGACGAAGGTCAGACTGATATATCCAATTCCGATACGATGGAATACAAAAGAGATATAATTATAAAAGATTTGGAAAATATATTATCAACAAGTGTAAAATGCCTACCAGAGAAATGTTCTTTGAAAGCTAGCGTGTCGAAATTGCTTACTTGCCTGCGATCGGACTTTGCACTGCGTTGTCCCGCACAAGACTTCGGAAAAAGTATAGCATCTGAGCTTGAAATGGAATGTGAGGAACGAGCTAACGAGTCTTTGCGAGATTTAGTCGTTTCGAAAATACCAAAGCAACCTTCTATGAAACGTACAGCGATGTCAAATAGTGCAGAAGATTTAAATAATTTCACTGGTCAAGATGCAAAAAATCTAACACAAAATAAGGCAATGAGTCTTAGAGATTACCCACCGCGAAAAGAAGAATATCCTATGGATCAATGCAAAGCCAGCAAGGAGAAAAATAATTCTTCGAACGTTACTGAAGTCGAAAGTATTCCAAGAATTGTGACAACAAACACAGAATCATTAGAGATAGAGAAGAAACAATTGACCGAACGTTGTCAAGAACTCGAACGAAGTTTAGATTTATTAAAAACGGAATATGAAGAATGTGAGGATTATTGGGCTGCCAAATTAGAAGAAGAAAGACAGCTTTTTGAACAAGAACAAAAAATAAGTGATGACAAACTTGCCGAGCTTATTAATAAAATAACAGAATATGAAGAATTAATTAGTCCTTCGGATAAATCAAAAAATAATGGACGATTATCTCCCATAGAAGAAAAGTTTAATTTGGAGCAACAGGTAAGATAAAATCTGTGTTTGCATTTATGCTTGTTTTTGTTTTCGAAATACACACACATGCATACTTAATTATTTTACTGATAAAAATATTTTTATATATTTAATGTCTCAGTATGTAGATCTCGAAGAAGAATTTGAGAAATGGAAAATAAAAATTGAAAATGACATTTCTCAGAAGGATCTAGAAATTGGAGACCTCCGTGAAAAGTTAAGACTGATAGAACAACCAATTACAAATGATTCCTATGTACAAGTACCAGACGAAATTTCTTTAGCAACATTGTCAGATTCGTCGCACTGTAAATCTTCCAGTATGTCCAGTATTCTATCAACGAACGAAATATTCGCGAATACGGATTTATATGGCACAAACAATCAAACGTGTCATACTTCAGCAGAATTTCCATTATCCAATAATCTTAACAAATTATTAAAACAAGAGGATCACATAGACGGTCATAATCTATATAATACACATACCGACTGCTCTATGAAAGTAACAAAAGGTATAAGTAAAGATCAAAAGATATATCATAATAGTCCACATATTGTTGATAAAACTATGTTGGCAATGAAAGAGGAAGATAAGTGCGATTCAGAATTTAAATTGATACATAATGTAATGAAAGAAGCTAGCTGCACATGTTCCGAGAATGTTCAACAGCAAGTAGATTGCATCGATCTAAACATTTTTCAGAACTTAAAAATGAAACTTTACGCACAAGAACGTAAGAAACGTCATCTACAGCGTTATATTAAACAGCAGCGGCAGTATATTGAAAGATTATTACAACGTAAGTTTTTTTTTCATGTTATTACGATAAAGTAATTTAATACATTTTCAACATTGTGTTAATGTTATGTATATGTTATGAAAACATGTATACTGTTTGTTTTTAAGATTTATCTTTTTAAATCTTTTTAATTTAAGGACAAAATTATTGCAGTTTGCTATTACAGGTATTATGGTGCAGCATCAGACGGAAGTATGTGAGTTACAGTGCCTTCTCCGTAATACCCAAGAAAGACTTCACATACAAGTTCAAACAACTGTTGATCAAGTACGACACAAACGTTCATAATTATATATTAATTTATAAGTGATTTTATGCTATTCCACTTTTTCCAAACAATTGTTAATCACATTCTCTTAATTACGAAATTGGAATAAAAGAATACAAATGGTGGATAAAAAATTGTGTTTTATATATATATTAAAAAATGATTCATCTATATATACATACATATGTATAGATGAATCATCTTTCTAAAATTAATGAGTGTTAGAAAAAGTATACATCAATTTTGAAATATTACAGAGTGATTGATTAAAGCTAAAATGATAAGCTTTAATATAATAATCTAATCAAATAAAAATTTATCATTATTTTTATCCCATAGGCTGATAAATTAGCAAGTGCTGATATTTTGGTGAAGGATTTGTACATAGAAAACGCATATCTAACATCACACATGAAGCGCTTGCAAGAACGATGTCTTATATTAACAGGCCTTGATGTAGAATCGACCTCAATGTGATGTCTACAAATAATTATTTACAATTATGATAAATCAACGTCTCTTTGTATGTATCGAAAATAATGTATATTATTTATTTATGATGTAGAATTATTAATTAATAGTATAAAAGTGTCGTATAGCATAAGGCTGGAATATAACTCAGGGATGCAAACGGTTAGAAAATGTATGTTTGAAAACGGGTGCCTTCAGTTTTTAATTTGATTTAAAGAGATTTGGCTTATATATGTGTAATATACATATATACACACACATGATTTAAGAGCAATTGTATGATAAATAAGAGAAGCTTTATGTAAGCAGAGTTGGTTTACTATTTCTAGTTAGATGATAGCATGATGGTTTTTTGTATATAGATGAGTACACAAAATACGAAACAATATAATATACAAATATTAAATATATTCAGATTTTAAGCATATGTATGTAAAATCAATGTATATAATTTTATATTTGTTTATACTTATTTAAAAAATTACCCATTTGGCCTGAATATTTTTTTAAAATAACTTATATTAATTTTTTTTACATCAATTGATTCATTCTGTTCAAAAATATTAAGATATAGAAAATGATTATAGAAAAAATAGTTTACGAGATATTTAATATTTCATGTTAATATGTGTCAGAATAAAGTAGAAAATATTTTGTAAACTATTGGTTTTTTGATATCTCTATCTTACTTTTATATACAGAATAATTAAAGAAAACTTATTACATAAAAAAAAATATAATTCCATTAAAAAAATTATACATATGTTTTGTATGCGTTTGTATATGTGTGAATCTGGTGTGAATGTGTGTGTGTGTGTGTGTGTGTATGATTAATCTAGAGAGAGAGAGAGAGAGAGAGAGAGTGTGTGTGTGTGTGTGTGTGTGTGTGTGTGTGAATATGGAAAATATGTTCTTTGAATGTATGCTACACTTTGATTGGTATTCTTCTCATTTTAAGGATGTTAAGGCCGATTTCGCCAATGCCAGTTAAAATATGCTCCCATGAGATGAGGAATATCGGAACGTTCATGACTATGGCTTCATTTCGCTGATTCCATTCCGTTAAAATATATTTTCCTATATCCCATTGCTGCAATAGTCCTTAAAACAAGCATTTGTGCTGTAGTAACTCAACAGCTGAGTAAACGTTCATTGTTATTGATGTATTCTTCAAGATCTAAAATTATAATTGGATGATCCGAAAAAGTAACAAGGCTTATTATTCGTATTCATAGTCAAGCCTTATATTTAAGGCTTCCTTAAATTTATCTTTAGGTACTTTACGAATTATTTCATTGGTTGCTGAGCATCTAAAGATAAATTTAAAGAAGATTTAAGTGCAAGGTCTGACTATGGATACGGTCAACGTGATGCTGCAAATGCTTTGAAGCGTTTTTTAATTGGTTAGTTCGTAAAATTCTTTCTTCTAATTGGCCCACCAAATCATTTGTAGCAAGACTTTGACCACAGACTATGAATACGGGCATATGTATCTTCTGAACACAGCCGGTGTAGTTTTTGAACGCTGTTCAACGCTGTCATTGACGTTTCCTTGAAATATAACCTTGAAATTATGTGATATTTTGACAATTCGGAAAGTAACGATAACAGCGATATAAAAAAAGCGTTACATATAATGTATGGAGCACAAGTATACACACATACGCGTATATATCTTCTCTAGAATCTGACAGCAACGATAATTAATAATACATGTCATAAATACATGCATAGATTATGCATATATTTCATCTCGTAAAAATCTTATAGCAAACAAGCTTAATGATGTAAATATTTGACAGAATGAAATAGTGTTATATTATTATTTATCTTATGCGTTATCAATTAATTCTATTGCGAAAGATTATATTTTTATAAATTATAAATTTGTATGTGTGTCATATGAAATGTATGTATTCATTATTTTAGAAGATACCGTTCATGATGGATCCTGAGACAATGGGCGAGAATTTATTCAAGCTGCAATGTTTAATTAAAACTACCGAGATACAGCATAGTGTGCAGTGCAAACTTGAAAGAAAATTATTTTTTGCATTAGCAACCAACAATGCTGAAATTATTCTTTATTATAAAAGGGAATCTTCTTGCCTACCTGTTGTTAAAAAAATACCTTGGTTTCAAGGGTTACATAAACAAATAGCTGCTTTTTGCTTTGATTCAAGTGGTACCTGGTTATTATGTGTAACTTTAGATGGTTCGTTATATGTATTACCTGCTTTAACTTTAGTTGGTGAAAATTGCGTTATTAACAAAAAGTGGAAGACTGATGATGCAACGTATATATCTTTTATAAATTCACAAATTTCTCATTTCAGGTAATTTTATTAAAATAATTCTTGTGTGAATAGACAGTAATTGTAAAGTTTACACTGACTTCTGTTATAGTTGCTGCTTTATTTTCTTCTACATAGACTATATTTTATTCCTATTATTCTTTATCTTATAAATATATAATTTTCTAATTGTATCTATATAAGATTTCTTGAAAATTATATTATTTTTAGACCAATAGCTATTACATGGTGGAAGAATACGAAAATATCTGAAGATGTAGGCATTATAGGAACGGAATGTGGAGCAATTATATTTATAAATCTTTCAAATGGACAACAACTAGGCATAACATACATTAATGAAAGTATAAGCAGTCTACATATTTGTGAAAATGAATACAATGAGATTGTATCTCTTTTGATAACAAGTAAATTTCAACAGCAATGGCGTTTATCTTTAGAACACATGTCTTTTAATCTTCTATATAATGTTGAAAACGAAAAACCTTATAACGAACTAAATTTAAGTGGTGCTAGTCATTATAATAATGTGGAAGATTCCGTTCCTAATAAATCTAAATTAAAAGAGCTTAAACAGCTCTCTGTTGAAAAATTGGCTACTCTTAAACAGAAGATAATTGATACCAAAAATCAAACATTAAAGGAGAGTCAATATCATGGTAGGTATACAAGAATGTGTAGAAAAACAAAATATAATATTAAATCCCTCTCAGGAAAAATGATGGAACACTTATATTATTATTATTTTTTTTTATTAATGTTAAAACGATATTCTTAATAAATAAGAAAATTTTCATTATTAATTCGTGCTTTAAAAATAAATATTTATGATGCATACATACGTTTTTTTTATTATCTATTTATGCGGAAAAAGTACACAATTACATACATTATCGCTTGGAATAAACATGATCATACAAAGAAAGGCTTATACAGTGATAAATATATTTCGGTTGCATATTTATCTGATCACTACCGCTACTATTACTAAAAGATTCATAAAACAATTATTATGTATTGATATCACAGATGCTGCAAATAACAAAGAAAATGATAATGGAATTCCTGTTAATTCGGAAATATCACAATACAAATTAGGTTTTGTCAGTCCAGAACCAATATCAAAAGATACTTTTCTATCTTTGCAATATGACAGAGAAAATCGACAATTGTATACATGCTATCATCCTGTCACTAATTATATCACAGTGAGATTTTTTGTGATATTTTTCTTCAGTTAATTCCCAAGCATTTAATATATTCTAGCCTTCTAATATGAAAATTTCTTTATTTTAGGTACACGGTCCAAACTTAACTGTGGTACCTTTGTCAATGCACAAAGTGTTTAAGTCATGCGAAACTGTTTTATTAGCACATAGATTATTTTTTATTACCGATATTAATCAACATGTAATATATATAATATCTGATCAATTGTCCGAGACTCATGTAAACAAAGACTATCAGTTTAATCCCGAGTCTATTATCGGAACATTTTCTTTTAAAAATAGTAAGGAAGTAATACGCGCGGTATACAAAGTAACACAATTTAATAATATAATACCGAGAAAAGTTTGTGAGGAAATCGAAAATAAATGTACCTTACCAAAGAATGTGAAAGATATTAAGGTCGAACCGTTTAGCTTGGATACATGTATAATTGTGACAAACCGCTGTGTATACGAAGTTGTATTAAGGTAAATTTAAAATTTATCGCATGATTTATGAAGACATAAGAAGGTTCACAAAGCAAACCAAGAAACAAAATTATAATAATAGATCTTGTTATTCAACAAACATCTATTTTTTTATAATATTTTTTTTCAACGTTACGGCAATAGCTTTGATGTGCAGCACGCAACATGTTATTTAATTACTTTTATTTAAAAAAATAAAATCAAGAAAACAAATATATTACATTATTTCTTGAACTTGCTTGTATTTCTCTGATGATGAGATAATATAATCCTAATACTAATTAATTTTAAATACTTGGGTAATTTTTTGCTGTTATACATTATAATTATTAAACTATTGTTTTACTTCAGAAAATCTCTTCTTTCGATCTTTATGGAATTAGTATTGAAGAGAAACGAATTGCAAGAAGCGGGAAAATTAGCAATGATTTTTGGATGGAATGGACAACACCTGCTGGAATACGTTGGCGATTTATTCCTATCAAATAAAGAATTCTCACGCGCAGTAGCTTCATATAAAATGTCTAAGGTAGCTAAGAACTGAATTTCTCTCTGTTTCTCTATCTATATTTCTTTCCTATGTGTTTCTATCTCAACATTTTTATTTCAGTGTAAATTATTGAAGAGCGTATTAAAGTTTGCATCAGTAGGCCATACATCAGAATTACTGAGTTGTCTAACTCATTGTTTACTTACACCTCTTATTACTGAAATGCCTATTGCAACAAGGATACATTTATCTAATTTGTGTGTACTTTCTTTTATTGAAATGACACTGAGGATTTGGTCGGAACAATCTAAAGCAATTTATAAGGAATTCTTGTAAGTCATATCTTACTTTTATTAAATATATTATATTTCCTGTATTATGAGGCATCTTCAATTAAATATCTATACATATTTACTAACAACAATTTCAAATGATTTTCAAATTTCGAAATAATAGCTTTGAATAAAATGTTTTCCTCAGCTTACGACAGCTGCCTCTTTATATGCAATTTCAGTATATTTTTTCAACGATTCAAAGATTCTTGCCTTCTTTTCTGGTTTTCATTTTTTTATCTAGAGATCGATATAAAATATAAAATATAAAATATAAAAAGATCTTAAAAGATTATAAAAAAAATATAAAATGGTGCATATATGTTTATATAACATACAGGTATGTATAAAATTCTATTTTACCCAAAAGTTTCCATTTTTAGATACTTTTTGTCCACAAATACATTTTACGACGAATTATTAGCTATTAATATAGCTGGTCAAACTTATCTTTGGGAAGTATTACACCACTTAGCTATACAAAGGAGTTTATACAGTCAAATGTTGGACATTCTCATAAAGACGATACAAATATTTGGCACAAACGAAATTCACTCAAAGTCATGTAATGTATATGTATATTTCATATATACACATATGTGTACACATACATACATACATACATAATGTAAAATAGGATTTAATATATGTATTTATTTTAGATGGTTTACTTATATGTTTGAGTGAATCTGATTTAATGCAATCAATGTTATTGAATTACGATTTAGCTAGATCTCACATATTATTTGTACGTCATAATCTGCGAGATTCTCACATCTTTGTACTTCAGGTGAGAAATCTTAATATTTCACTTACGTTCACTTGATAGAGTTTCAGAGATGTTTGCATCACAAATTAAATTATTAATAAATGAGTTACATGTTTGGGCGAAAAATATAAATATCAAATTATTTTCTTTTTACATTTATAGAATTCACATAAAAATCAAAGAAAAGTTTTCTCGATCAAATTAACCAAATGTGAATACTTACGAATTAATGTTTGATAGATTTCATGGAATCAGAATAGAGTTTTAGATTATCGTTTAAGTATTATTGCTTAACAGCTTGAAATATTCCACAGAGATTAGTAACGTTGTACGATCCAACCAATCCAGTATTACGGCCTAGATTAATACAATGTAAAGCACATCATAAAATGATATCATACGATTTACGATCTAATCAATGTGATTCTATAGATTCTACGGATAATATTGTGAGTATTGAATTTCTATGGGATATTCTTAACATTAGAACCGCGGGTCTAAATTAACCCAATCGCGGTAAATCTAGCTTTTTACGAGAGAGGGTTGTCACCATAAAAATAATTAATTATGATTATTTATGAAAAGTCACAAAAATTTAAAGCTACACATGCAAATGCAAATTAACTGGAAAAGAAAAATTATCGGATGAGTAAAAAATGGTAGAGCTGTGATTCTAATGTTAAGATTTGTGCATAATATGAATAATTAGTATTTAAATTATCTGAGCTATTTAAAATAATGAGAAATTTTCGTAAATATAAATTTTTTAAATTACTAATATATGAAAGAATTGTTTTTTTTACCAGAATCAAATATATGCTACTTAAACAAGTTTTTTTTTTAATTTGATCTTTTATTATCAAAATATTTTATCATATTTGAATTTTAAAAAATAATAGAGACAAATAGTACTAGAGATAAAGATTTTAATAAGAGAAAATCAAGCGAATTTTGGAGTGTTCTGCAAATTGTTTTGAACAATCGTTTTTTTAACTACAAATTCTTAGCCAATTAAATTTTCTAATGTAAGCTTTGATTATTATTTCTTTTTAAAATAATTAGAGAATCTATTTTCTCTACTGAAAAACTTAATTCACTAGAAATTCCTTATTCCTTATTTAGTTAATTACTCGAAGAAATTAAACTTGTTTTTGTAACTTTTCCTCGTGAAAAAAAGATTTTTTCCAAATCACATACAGAAAAAATTCATGGTAAAAAAAACATATGTTAAAAGTGATTTCAAAATATCTTTATTAATGACAAAAATATTTTACAGGATCAGTCTGATACTCTCGTAGAAGAGATAATAGAAACGTTTATACTAGTATTGTTGACTCTTATTCATAAGAAACGATTATTAAATCCTAATTCCAAATTCACTTTTTTGTATGACGTACAATTGCCGGAATTCAGCAAGGTAATTCTAAATCTCTAATTATTTACGTTCTATATTTGGCAAAGAAAAAAATTCTACTCTAGAAAAGCTGTAGTGAAGCTTTTATTAAAAGATCACAGAATTTGGAGCTTATACAGATTTTGAAGAATTTTGTTAATTTCTTGTTCTATTCTATATTTCATCGTTTCAAAATATTCAGGAATTTTTATTTTCGATGTTACGATGTTAGTATACTCTACTCTAAACATTTATCATAAAATTTCTTGTAAAGTTAACGAAATCACATTTGCATCAAATTGCATGATGATAAAGCAAAACATGAGGGGTACAAAATATGTTTTGGGTACAAAATGTTATTTATTTGATTTGGATATTCGAATTTGTTAGAATGAGGAAGGATTATGACAGTCAGGTATAATTACAATTTTATACTTTGATCTCAACAGGAATACTCGGAAATGACTATGCATGTTGATTTTAAGAGAAGATCATTAAGTACTGGATTTTCTCATGTTGCACTTGTTAGAAATGGTAATATCTACACTTGGGGAAGTTCAGTGCAAGGTTGTTTAGGTACGTAGACCTTTGCGTACGTAGATTGTTTCATTACATATATAAAACATATCATTACATATTAGGTGTTGGAATTAATTCGTAGCGTTTTTTAATGAAAGAATGTTATTTATTTCACATGAGCATTAAAAAATACATTAATGAAAGTACTTCCCATCACTTGTAAAACGCTACGAATTAATTCCAACACCTAATATATAAATGCTGTAAAATATAAAATAAATATAATAGTACGCAGCATTTCAAAATACATGTAATGATATGCATATTTAAAAAAAAAAGAAATTTATATGGCCAATATAAACTAATATAAGATAAAGATATAAATGAATCTTTCGAATATAAAACTCATAAAATGTCATTTTCAATTATCTTCAATCTCTGAAGAGTGCGAGGAAACATGTTTTATAAAAAAAAATTTTTCTATATATAAGTATACCTAGAAAAATTTCTAAAAAATTTGGAAAAGAATTAGAATTATGATGAAAAGACAGAGGCAAGCAGCGAAAACGATTCAAAAATTATTTTCTTGAAGTAGTCAATCTCAAGTATTGAATCTTGTATTCTCTTAAATCAAAATGTATTAATTCTGTGAATTTATATAGATATCATATTGATTATACTTTTTCAATTTTATATATTAACTTTGTTACATTTTTCATAAAAGTTTTTATTCATGTATTGTGGAGATTGAAGATGATAGAAGATTGAAACATGTTCTTGCATTACGATCTTATTAAGCGGAACGCTTGTTGGCCACTTGGATTCCTTTTATTTGTTAGTCATGTTAAATTTCTTTATGATAATTTGCTAGTATATATTATTAACTATTATATAGGTACTGGCTCTAGCGTTTTGCGATATGGGACACCTCATGCCATATGCTTCTTCAAAAGTATGAAGATTGAAGTTTTTAGTGTATCTTGTGGGCATTGCCATACTCTGGCAGTTACTAACAATGGAATCTATGCTTGGGGAGCTAGTCAATTTGGTCAGTTAGGGCTTGGCAAGGTGTTGCAATGTTCAAGTCCGGAATTAGTTACTTCGTTGGCGCAAGAAATTATTGTTGATGCAGTAGCTGGACAGTATCATTCTGTAGCACTAACTGCAGATGGTAGAATATTCACATGGGGTTGGGGTGTTCACGGTCAACTGGGCCATGGCAATACCGATGAAAAAGCTATACCATCTTTGGTCAAAGCTCTACTTGGCATAGTCGTGTGTTGTATTAGCGCTGGATATGCGCACACTTTAGCACTATCAATAGATGGTGTTTTATATGCTTTCGGATGTAATATTCTTGGTCAATTAGGAACAGGTGATAATATCAAAAGTTCTGTCCCGATAAAAGTATCGTTACCCGATAGGATAACGCTTATAAGTACTGGATACTTTCATAATGTAAGTCAGTAAACACCTGTGTTTTATATATATTTTTTATGCATGATGTTATAATCATTAAAATTATTCGTTCCTTTTCGTAACAAATCTATATTTTTAACATCATAACAACAGATTTTATACATGTATTCTGTTCTATGTTTGTAGTTAGCTGTCAGTAATACGAACAAATTATATATATGGGGTGCGAGTCCTCAAGTTCTCAGATTGCAAGCACAAGCGCAAAAGAAGATTCGTATATCGGAGCAACAAGATGCTAATGAGAAAAGGAATAAGGCTCTGGGAGAATTGGAGAAAATACCAAGTGATGCTACAAATCTAAACGGAAAAATAAAAGAATTTTTGAATAAAAAAGATGGTGTACAAACTAAGTCTTCTCACACGGAAACTTCTGATATAGAAACGCAAAAGAAATTCGAGACTAAAAACGCACATTTGAAAGACTTCAACTTTGATTTGATCGAGGAGAGTCAAACACATTTAAAACCATGTATTGTTGACACAAGTTTAGTGAAAGGTCAAATTAATCAGGTTCGTAATATAAGGGAACTTGAAATTTATATGTTTGGTTTAGTAAATATGATAATTTATGTATTTATCTTTAAACTAAACGTGTAAAGAACATTATGTTCGTGACGTTAAGTAGAAAAGAATCGTGCATACTTTATGATGTAACTTGTGATCATTTGTGCAGATATCAGTTGGCTGTCACCATAATGCATTAATAACGAAAGATGGCTCTTTATATACATGGGGCCGTAATCTGGATGGTCAAATAGGTAACGGCACGCGACGAGAAGTATTAATTCCGACGCCTTTGTATTATAATTCAGCCTGTATTTTTGCACAAATACCTCCTAGACACAATGATTTTAAAAGAATACAAAATCAACGGGACTTGGACACTGACGCCAAATCGAATTATTCACTGGCAAATAATGGAAATGTGCCTGAGAACAATGGGAATATCAGTGATTCGTCAATATACGTAGAAAATGCTGACATAAATACAGAGAGAACCAATCCTGTAATTAATGCTGTTAGCGTTGCTTGTGGATATGATTATACAGTCACGATACAACCAGGTTACAAAGAAGCAAGATATACATATTCACTAATTAAATTATTTATCTTAATGCCAAGACACTTGTCACATAATTCTTTTTGAATCTCTCAAATTTAATCTAATTTAATCGAGTTATTAATTATTTGATATGATATTTCTATCTATTTAAAACACATAATTGGATATACATGTAATTATACATGTAATTGAACCTATTTATATCATAACCGCTCTCATTCTTTTTTTTTTCTCTTACACAATATACGATACATACATGATTTTTAATAAATCGGTTTTTGAAAAGAAACAAATGTTGCATTATAAAAATTACACAATTTCTTTAGGAGGTACGGTATTAGCTTGGGGCAATAACAGTAGAGCGCAATTGGGTCGCATT